GGTGATATTATGACTTACTTGATGTTATGCTTGTCTTGTATGTCTTTTATGCTATTGTTCATGATATTTCAAAAAGGTGGCATAATGCATGGTTTCTAACTAAAATGTCCCCTTTAAAGCATGTTTTGCATGGTCATCATACTTAGTACATTTTTGTGTACTAACCCATATTCTTCATGTTTTTACTACAAGTGTAGGTTCCGGCAAGTGATCCCTCTTAGCTAGTTTGAAGTGTTGGATTGCTTTCCTCCAAGACTTGGTATGTCCTCATGGATTCGAGGACAAGACTTTTAAGTTCTTTTGTTCATGTAATAGACTTCTTTTGATTGTAAAGGGTCGTGTCCCTACTTATGTTTTGCGACTGTGTCTAAGATGGCCATGTGAGACTTAGACTTCCGCTGTGTATTTTTTTAAAGTTGTTTTAAGAAGTTTAAATGTGTGGACGTAAATAAGTTTTTTTTTATTCCGCACTATTTTCATTATTGAATGCAATGAATGACTATGTGGCTTGTATAAGACCCCTTCGGGGTCGAGTACGCCTTGTTACGACTTGGGGGTGCTCCCGGGTCGTGACAATAAGGTAAATAGTCGGAATGTTATGATGGTTGTTAGTATTGTGAGTATGACTAACAAGTTATGCTCTCGTGTGTTTTCACTTTTGTGGGTGGATCCCTAGTGGTGGATCAGGGGTACCAAATCCTGCGATGTTCTCTTGGTTGAGTAGGCAGATTGGGAAGATTTGGTTATTCCGAATGACATAATTGGTGTTGTTAAGGAACTTTAGTGGTTCTACATGTACCACTTTTCTTATAAGAATTTATAGAAGAGTTACCATGTGTATTTGTGGTGGTCCGGCAATCTTAATATTCGTCTAGTCGTCGAGGTCATGTATTAATTGTGTGTGGATGAATACGGGGATCATTGGGTCCAATTCTATTGTTCTTAAGGGTAATCTACTATCATAATTGCTAAACCTATCATTTGATAGTATGGTTGGAGGGTTGTATGTTTGGACATATCCCTCGATGAGTATCTAGTGTCTAAAGATCAAATTTTGTAACTTAAGCTCATGGAAATTTATTATGTGAGAAAGGATTCGTCCTGATGTTGTGTCAAAGTCCTTAATAACATGTTGTAGACGTGTGTACGATCAACTTTGGTGGTTGTTGGGAATCATTTTTGTTGTTAGTTAAGTTTACATACAACAATATTTATCACTCGAGTATTGAGATGATTTCATTGAGGAATTGTAATGGAGGATGTGTAGATATTCAATTGGTTGGTTTGAGGTTGGAGATGTGAAACTCTTAGGAGGTAATGAGATTCGGTAAGAAGGGCATGTGAGACAAGTATCCCCAGTAATTCGACGATTCAAATACTACTCTACCCTAACTTTAGCCCCTTTTTCCTAGTTTGTCACTCGGGGACGAGTGATGGGTAATTGGTATCTATTGTAATGACCTGATTCCATCGTTATGGAAAAGCTAACGGAGAAAAATTTTGGGCCGAAAAACTTTTTGGTAGTATCTTGAAATTTCCCAACCTGGTCCAGATGCGGATGAAATCGAAGTCAATGAGGTCTAGAGAAATATGGTAACAAATGGGAGATCTAATTATGATTTCCATCACATGAGTAGATAACTAAGACGTTAAAGGAACTCGTATGACCTTACGAAATTGAATTCTGGTGAATAGAACTCCCAGAATTGATCTTAGCGTGAACGGGTATTTTCTGAGTGTCATGGGATGAAGGTGTGTTGTGAAATGGGGGTATTGGAATTATTAAAATTACTCATTGTTCCGTGCAAGCCGCAATAGCAAGATTTCTGCTGCCAGAGCGGGGCCTCTGTAGCGGGGTGAGACCGATGTGGCGGGACAGACGCGACTTAAAGTTGGAAATAAACCCCAAAAATATCTTTATTCTGCACTTTTCGACTTTGAGAGCTAAGGAACGACCCCAGACGAGTTCTTGACAGTTTTTCACCATTCTTGAGGCAAAAGGTAAGGTTTTAACTCCCTGAATTCGTTTTTCGATCAGTGGAACATAGTTTCTTGGGTAATTATCATTAGGGAAAGGTTTTGATCTGAAGTTAATGGTGGAAAAAATCATAATCTGGGTATGGGGATCAAGGTTTGACCTAGGGTTGATATTATTTATTATGATCCGGGTAATTAGGCCTCGTTTATTGATCCTTGCGTTAATTGTATGTTTTTAGACCACGAACAAGCGGGAAGAATTCGGAAAGGGAAGATTCAAGTGCCTTAAGGCTATTCAAGCTTGGATTCGAGGTAGGTGATGGTTGTGATTTCATGTTGGTGTGATATATGTTTGTAATTACTCATTATAATGCATGTATGTATGCGAATGTTGCATTATTGATCACCCTAATCGTAAATGAGGATAATTGAATAATTGTATCCCATGAATCACCTCTTGTTGTATGATTTTGAGAATATACATTGTGATTGTGATTGTGGTTTTTTGAATTGATCGGTTGCCACGTTCCGGCATAAACATGGGATCGGTTGCCACGTTTCGGCATAAATATTGGATTGAGTACCACATTTCGATATGCTAACAGTTTGAGTGTGGGTGCCAATCACGACGGTCTGGGTCGTGACAATATATATATATATATATATATATATATAATGGAGAGTAGTTTGCAACATGGTTAAGCCAAGTGGCAAGCAACTTGGCAATATTAAAACATAGCTAATAAATATTATAATAAAAAAATTGAACTAAAAGCTGATTAAGAGTATTTAAATTTGAAAATAAATTAGATTTTTCAAAATTAAAAAAAATCATCAGTTTAAAAACAAAATCCACAATAGAAGAGTTCTAAATGAACTCTTACTTTAATTTATCATTTTTCAGATATTAAAAAATATATTTAATATAAATATATATTTGAATTTAGAAGTAGAGATAATTTATAAAAAAAATTATGATAAACAACTGTAATAGTTACAAGGATATCAAGTTGCTAATCCAGAAATTAAAGTCTAGAAACATGATGGAGATGAGAGTAGGAAAGGTGGTTTCCATTTAGAAAAATCAATTTGGATTCATGCTAGGGTTTTCTACTACAAAAGTCATTTATCTTAAGCGGATAATTGTGGAGATATATAGAGAACGAAAGAGGAACTTATATATGATGCTCGTTGTCCTTGAAAAGGCCAATGACAAAGTCTAAGAAAATTCTTCTAGAGATGCATGTACGCTAAAGGTATAATAGTGACTAGAGGACATAAATGATGGAGTCAAGACTCGAGTTAGAATGGTGGGAGAAGACTCAAAACACTTTCCAATGGAGATGGGCTCGCACCAGGGACCAAAACAAAATATTTAGAGTGCAAATTTAGTGATGCAATGCATGAGGTAGAAATGAAAGTGAGGCTTGACTCATAGGATATCCCCAAGAGAAACAACTTCAAGTATCTTAGGTCTTTAATTTAGGAAAGTATCGATGACAATTTGACACATTGTATTTGTGCGACATGAATAAAGTGAAGTCTTGCCTATGGAGTATCTTGTGTGACAAAAAGGTTGGACCTATTTTGTTGTATGGGACAGATCTAGTATTAGTCAGTCAAGAACTCCATGTTAAGAAAATGCATGTTGTAGAAATGAGGATGTTGATATGATGCGTGGGAACACTAAGAGCAATAAGATTAGGAATGAGTATATTTGAGCAAAGGTGGGAATGGCGTTGTGGATAAGAGAAGATGCATAGATGCTCCAATGAAGAGGTGTGAGAGGTTGAATATAGTGCATATCAGCAGAGGTAAATGTAGGCCAAAAAAGTATTGAGGAGAGGTGTTTAAACAAGACATGCACACTACTTCAGCTTATCGAGGACATGACCTTTGATAAAAGGGTATGGATAGCGTGGATTAGAGTAGAATCAGTATTAGTTTGTCTTGTAGTGATGTCTTGCTTTTGATTTTTTTTCATCATATGTTGTTTAAATATATAATTTTAATTATTGCACTATTCTTTTATTGTTACTATTTTCGTATTAGTTGTTATATCTTCTTCACTGTCATTTTTCCATTTCATACTTATAATTTGTTGTACTTGAGTCGGATATCCTTCCAAAATAGTGTCTCTATCTCCACAGGGTAATGATAAAATTTGCGAACACTCTACGCTTCTCCAACTTCACTTGTAAAATTTTATTAAGTATATTATTATCGTTGTTAGTGAATTAATATTATAGTAATTTTTCCAATAACGTAACCAGTTCCACTTACTATAGACAATTACTTTAATTTATTGATCTTTATTAGATGACAAATCGATTACACACCTCTTGTGCTACACTATTCCAACCCCTCACCTATCTACTATCACACAAAAGATAAGATGGCCGGTCATCCTCTATTTAACATTAAAGAAAAACAAATTTTTATAATATAGAAACATATATATCTGTGGGCAAAAGTTGTTAAAAATCAAGTTGACTTAAAAATTGAGAAAATAAAAAATATAAAAAATAAATTATCATAATAAGAAGGTGGTGAAATGTATGCAGAATTTAGAGTGCATGCACGAACCATGAAGTAAGAAGCAAAAGAAATTAAGAGCAGCTCTTCTACATGCATGACAATAAATAAATAAATAAACAAATAAGAAATTACTACTTGTTATATAATTTTATCTCACGCTGGAACGTAAATGTCCATATGGTAATAAGCGTGAGACCTATAATATATATTGTATATTGTCCACAAACATATATACATACACTCATAATATATGTTACGTGTTTATTTATGTAATTATATTTGTTGTGTCTCATATATAAAAGACTGCGTGTGAAAATAAATTAACAGTCACGGGAGAACAACACATAGCATTTAATACGAAAAAAATATAGACTGATAGTTAGGTATATCCCACACTACAACTAGTTATTCTTTTACATTTTTCTTCTGTTACTATATATATAAAGCTCTTTGAGAGACAAAAAAAATTGTAAAACACACAAAAACTTGCAATTTAGGTTTGTTTGCTTTTTTAAGAAGAAAAAAAAAGTATCATGTCTCACATAGCAGTGGAGAGAAACAGGAGAAGACAAATGAATGAAAATCTCAAGGTTTTGCGTTCCTTAACTCCTTGTTTCTACATCAAAAGGGTACTTCTTCTTCTAAATTTTCTGAATTTTTTCATTCTTTTGAGTCGGTATAATTATCTTGCCAGTGTCAGAGCCAGAATTTTCAGTAAGAGATACAAAATTTAAAGAAGTAAATACATGATCATGTACATAAAAAAAATAATTTAACCATGTATAAACAATTATAATTTTTCATTGAAGACGATTTGAATGAATCTCCTTAACCCTACCTGACTCCGCCCCAGGATATTCGTCACCTTTTCCTTTGGATTTTTGTTTGGGGGTTGAAACGCTTCGTTAGTTATTACTGTTTGTGATAATTATACTTTGAGTTTTGGTAGGTATTTAGATGTGAAATTATAAATATACGTACATATTGGAGTGATCATAATCTCGATCGATTTGAGTGTATGATTACCTATGACAACTTGTAATTCTATATCATTGTATGTCAAGCACAATAATTTGGTTATAGATGGCAATAACTTGTTATAACTGGTTAAATTGTGTTGATCGATAATAGAAAGATTCTTTATACTGTTAGCATATATGACTTGAGCTCTATTCATATAGAGATGCAATGGATAGTCTATATATTGGAGGAATTAGAAATACCAAAAGGTGTGTTGGATTCAAGTATTGAATAAGTACCATATTTAGGGTTTAATTTTTCCTTTTAATTTGGTGTTTAATTCTTCTTTTTCTTGTTCTAATCTTTGTAATTGAACTTGAAGGGTGATCAAGCATCAATAATAGCAGGAGTGATTGAATTCATCAAGGAATTACACCTTGTCCTTCAATCTCTTGAGGCGAAAAAGCGAAGAAAGAGCCTAAGCCCTAGCCCTGGTCCTAGTACTCCAAGGCCATTGCAACTAAGTCCTACACCTGAAAGTACTCCATTTATTACTCATAATAACTTCAAGGAACTTGGAGCATGTTGTAATTCTCCAGTGGCTGATGTTGAAGCAAGAATATGTGGATCAAATGTTATGTTGAGAACAATTTCAAAGAGGATTCCAGGTCAAATTGTGAAGATAATCAATGTGTTAGAGAAACTTTCTTTTGAGATTCTTCATCTCAACATCAGTACCATGCAGGATACTGTTCTATACTCCTTTGTCATCAAGGTGATCATCATACATCCCTTTAATTATTTCTAATTTGGAAATTAACAATAACTACGTACGTCTCAGTCTCAGACTTTTTCTTCACACAGTACTAATATACTTGTTGGTAGTGTCAATTGTTTTCAATAATCATAAAATTTTGTAAGATTGTAATGTGTGAGAGGAACAAAATTGATGAAGTCACAAAGAAATAAATATAGTATTAGAAGTATGAGCTATACATTTTCTTAAAAACTATTGTGATCAAGTTGACTATAACCGCAAATCTTACATCTAGACTTTCATATGCATTAATTGACTAATATGATAGTTAGGAAGAGAATGAATCGAATTCAACTAAGTATATTTGGATTTTATAAATTTGATTGGTGTTATAAATATATTCCATATGTAAACCGTGATCATTAATTTAGTGTTGAAGTCTCTAATCATCTCATCTAGAAGTTTGAGATCATTAGCACGTGTCTTTACATGCAAGCTTGATTCAATTTTATGCGTGGAATTTTTTTTGATATAATAGTAGAGGTGAGACTGAAAAAAGATCTTTACTTGCTTAAATGTATACCATATATAGTGTGTAATTATGTCATCTAAAAACTTAAATCGTTAAAAGATGGCACACTTTCATATACTTTATTACATTTTCTTCACCCTACACACACTTCTTTAAAAATCTTTCTAACTCTAATATTTTCCTTCTGTTGATTATTTTGTAATGCAGATAGGTCTGGAGTGCCAACTTAGTGTGGAAGATCTAGCACTGGAAGTTCAAAAAAGCTTCACCTCATCTGATGTTTTATGTATCAACGAGATATAGAATCTACAAAATAAAATAATAATAATAATAATATATGTAGTACTCCATCTAATATTATCTTCTTACGCTTTAGTGCTATATATTTTTTGGATATATGTATACAAAGTGTAAGAAGATAATTTTGGAATGTAACAAATAATTTCCAACATTTTAAGGTTGGATTTAGTACGTGAAACGCACTATTACATGACTAGGTATACTTGTGGTATGGAAGTCTGAAATAGAAAGTTGAGGATATATATATATACGTACTATATATAGAAAAATCGACTTTATCTTTGTATCTTTTTGTTATTTTGTATGTTTTATTAAAAGAGAAGAAAGTAGTGTTTGGATTTAATTTATATATGTTTCATGTTGCAATATGGATGCTTTACAACGTTAATCGGTAAAATAGTACTGTGTGCTAAGACAATATCCAGTACCCCCTAAGTTGATTTTTTCGCGTTTCAATATGCATCAATCTCACATCTATCTTCTTCCCACTATATATAAAGTGCGAGATCATGATACTAATAATCTATATACCTTTTACTATAAAAGTGATCAAATTAAGCTCATGATGCCAATAATCTTACTTGTTTTTTTTTTCCACCCAGCAGTGTGTGAAGTCTTCATTGGAGCACCAATTAAATTCAAATCACTAACTATAGGGCTCATTTGGGGTGGTGCTCCCAATAAGATTTTCTCCATATACCTAGGGTTCGAACCTAAAATCGCTGATTAAGAATGAAGTAATTCAACCCATGTTGGTAATCTCACTCATTGTCATCTCATTTGCCTTGATGCCAAATAACTAACAAGAGTTCTGAATTTTAATGAATTTTATATAGTAGTTTAAAGTCTAAGCTATAGTAACTGATATTAATTAATAAGTATTGTTTATTTATTTGAATTGATTATTATGAGGTTAATCATTTCCATCTATATCATTAATTAACATTATAAATTATAATACCTAGCCTACTAAAACTGAATGAAGGAAAATCTCTTAGACTACCTATGTCTATAATATATAGAGAGAGAGAATTTTTCAGTGTTTAACCCTATAGAATAATTAAAAGCTTTTGGGAAAAGGAAAAAGAAACTACTATAATAGAAAAAGGTTTTAACTACCCCAAAGACTTAAAAATGACACTAATTAATACCTTTTGTATTTTATAGTTAGTGTTCTTCGGGAATCGTTTAGTGTAAGGTGTAAGGTATAATAATTTTAGGGGATAAAATTGCAGTATTATTTTATCCTGCATTTGGTTGGAGGTATTAGGCCGTCCTGGGATTATTTGCCCCATCATTATACCTTAGTGATGGAATAAATTATCGCATTTACATGGCGGAATAACTTATTCCAAGATAACTTATTTCGAGATAACTTGTTCCCAGCCAAACGAAGGATAGTTCAAAAATGTGTTTGTGACAATGACCATTTTGTAACCTTTAATTGGACGTGGCCCATCAATTTAAATGTCACAACATTCTAACCTTTGCAATTGGGCCCAAAATAAATTTCTTTTATTTTCTTTGTTTGCTGTTTTGTTTCTCATTGATTATTAACGGCCCATTTAGGTTTGAAAGGTAAAAAAAAGATAAGCTTTTACTATGTTTTCAGAAAATCAAACAACATAAAACAATTTAAATGTAGACATTGATGACACATATTAATAGAAATTCTCCAAAAATTCAATTTAAAAAATTAATCGACATGCAAAATTTTCACCAAAATTATTTTAAAAGGATCATACCTTTTAATTAAACTCATATATTATAATCCTCCTTCAAAGTCATAATTCATAAGTATGTGTTTACTACTCTATTATTTCTTCAAATGTTGGTTACCTATCACGCTCAACAAGTACTTGTACAAATATCAATATGAAATAATTAAGAGGTGGGCTCCCCAAATACTATAGTTTCTCCGTTTGTTTTTACTTATCCAGTATTAACTTGCCTCACTTAAGAAGCAACAAATAAAATGATAATTTATCATATCACCCTTTGAATATATAAGAATAAATTATTTTTTAATTTTCTAAATTGAACAAGTAAAAGTTTACGGAGGGAGTATATACTTACTATTACAGAAATGTGAATGTATATCCGAAAAAAATGAAACTTTGGGTAATCTTCTTCATGATTGATTTGTCACATGAAACTAAGTACTATCTAATTCTTTGTTTAGTCAAATGGACATATCCTCTCTCACATGCATTGTGTATATTCATGTTGGTAATCATCATTATTCCTTCTTTTTTTAACTTTTTCATTTTATTATTTTTGCTTTGCTTTTTTGTGTTCATGCCTTCCTCAAGACTCTACTTCACATGAATATTGCATTCCCCCTTTTTTTAGGGTTCTTTTCTTAATTGTCTTTTTATTCAGAGTTGTTATCTGTCTTGTTGTTTACTTAGACAAATGTTGTTTTCCAAATTAAAGAGGGAGTTTTGTTTCAAGTGTCAGTAATCAAACTTTTAATTATGACATCAAGACTTTAACTTTGACCAATAAAATGACCATTAACACCCTAAATGCATGCTCAAATCTCAATACCATGTTCACCTAGACCTAGTTTTAGTTTTATCACATAAACTTTTAAAATGATAATAAGAATTGTTTATAGGAGTGGTGTGTTATTACTCAAAAGTAGCACAAACACAAGCATCCTATATAGTTTAGGGGAAATGTCCACAATTATCAAATGTACTATAAATTCAAATGAGTCAAATCACTTTATAAGACTTCAAATTCATGGTCCCTACACCTTACTATACCTAAAATTGTTGCCATTTTGTTTGAACTCATAACCTCAATAAATATAATGGTCCAAACAGAAACAACCCATCATCACATACCAAATGCCCACATATCATGTCTCCTGGCCCAATACTTTAAAATCCAATTTGAGTTTAGTTTATAGGTGAGGAAAGTCATTTTTCGAGCCTTCTAAAAGCATGTTTGGTCAAGCATCTAAAAACCGTGTCATCTAAAGGGTTTAAGTAGTTGTCTTCAAAGGGATATGTTAGTGGCCACGAAGAAGTCATAATTCAAATTGTAGTACTATAGGTTTGAATCGCCTATTAATCCTTCATGCATATATTACTAAAAAAAAAATTAAACTTTTGACGAAAGATCTGTCACAAATTTAAGTGTCACACAAATTTTTCTATAAAAGAAAAAGAATTTGCATAAACTTTGTCCATACCAATGAAAATCTCATCATAAAGTGATCATAATTTTATAACGAAATTGTTGGTAATAAATATTTATTATTATAAACAGAAACTTAACCATTTTGAGTTTCGAAAAGAAGGAATTAGTTACGTCTATATCAATTATTTGTGTGACTTCATTATTATCATAATACTTCAAATGTACACGTAAATTAATATTGATGTAATAAACGTATCAATATTATCTCCCTTAATCTTGTGGAAGTAGGAATATAATAATCATGTATATTTAGTGAGATACACCATGACGAAATAATACATGAAAATAAAATACTATAGTTTTAATCAAGCTTTTTCAAGTACAAATAATTTTGACATGCCCATTACATCATATTTCACTTTAAAGAATTAGGAATCGTTATGAATATGAGGTATAAAGTATAATAATCGTAAAATAAAATGCAGGATCATTTTATCTTGTATTTAATTGGAAGTATTTGATAGTCATAGGCTTATTTATCATATTATTTATAACATAGTGATGGAACAAATTATTCCATATACATGATGGATAACTTATTCCAAGATAATTTATCTCGAGATAATTATATTATAGGGATTTTGTAGCAAACTCAATAATAACCAAGGGAACTTTTGTAGTATTGCAATCATTGACTGGAATTACAAGAAAATAACAACTGGTAAGGAAGAACAATTAAGAAGAAGAAGATATAGATGAGATACAAAAGAAGATAAAAGATGAGAGTAACAGACAACTTCTTTCACAATTTGCATAAGTCCAATTTGCTCTCCCAAGTCGTATTTATCAACCCAAATCCCAAATATAGTCTGGCCCAATTGCTTGTTCTAAGCCCAATAGGTCTTGCCAGCCCAACAACTATTTGTGTGATCTTGGTATTCCTATTGGGTTGGACTTGGTTCATAACAATATTCTCGTCCTCAATAAGAACCTTGTCCTCAAGGTTCGAGTAGAGCCACACGGACAATATAATATTGAATCTTCCAAGACTCAAGTGTGTGTAGAGAGCTGCAATAGTGGTGCGAAGTATAAACCAAACACTGTCAACTTGCAGAATTGAGGAAACAAATTCATTGCCTTCAAAGAATTCCATATTACCAAGAATCATAACAAAGGCCACAACTCTAAACAATTTCATCTGCTCTCTTTTGCCAAGCCAAGCAATTTTCAATACCTCTTTTATATTAACAGAATCATGAGCAGAAGTAATACATGCTATTATTTCATAGCAATAAGATTGTTGGAGATAGGAAAATGATTCAGGATCCCTCAATCTACACTTCTTGTTTACCTCCATAGGTGTTTCACAGAGAAGGGAGAGATAATGATGTTTCTGTTGAAGAATTATAGCAAGAAGGGCTTGAGAGCTTGCGAGGAGAGGCAGTATCATGGCTGCACAAGATGTTTTTCTAAACTCTGCAAGCTGAATCTGTTGTGCTACAGTGCGCTCTTCAACAAGTCTATGGCCATCGAAATGGGCAAGATAGCACATAAGTCTCGTAGTAGTTATAAACTTCTCCCAACTACTCAAGATAGAATTACTTTTACTCTTCTCGAGCATTGACTTGTGAACAACATAAGCATCAACAATTAAAGCACCTTTCAAAAATTCAAGCTCACTTTCAATCTCTATAGCATAACTAGCTGGTACACCTTGAGCGCCAAAGAAAACCATGATCTCCTCAAGCGTAGAGAAATTACACAACTCCTGCTCAATCGATTCTACCATAGTCTTGATGCAGCCTTGTAGACATGCTAAATAAGCAGATACATCATGCTCAACTATTTTCTTTCGTGAACAGACATCACCTC